TGGTATTCAGCAGGTTCTGACCAGTTCTGGAGAACCGGTAGCGGAAATTTTGAGTAGTTCAGAGACCCAGCAAATACCACCTCTGACTGCTCCCACCCCCATCTATTCTCTGCCTCCTGAGTCCCAGCTGATCAGGAGGGAATGGGGATTTTGCAGTAACCTTCCCCTGGAGTGGGGTGGGAATGTAGATTTTACAGTATCCTTCCCCTGCCATGCCCACCAAGCCATGCCCACTAAGCCACGATCACAAAACCAGTAAAAATTTGAATCCCACCATTGGCAAGCACTTTCATCCAACTCAGTCCTAACAAAAGAATTTTTACAGGGTTGTACCAATAATGGAAAGTTAATTATTTGGGGCAGTTCTGGTGAGGATTTCTTCGTATAAAAGAATAGCTTACAATCTATGCTATAGTTTTAATGTCCTTTCCAGCTTAAATAGTGACACCTTGTGTCACCAACTTTCAGCATTAACTGTTTGGGGTTGCTAAAAAATAGGGAGAAGGCTAATTATAATTCCTGCTAAGTTTGCTGTTGTTACTCAGCAGTTCTGCTGAGAGCTTTTTCGGGATACAAAATTCAGGGTTGTGACTCAGCAGTTCTGCTGAGAGTTTTTTCGGGATACAAAATTCAGTTATGCAGCTGGGGCTTGTGGGAGGAAATTTGGAGATAAAAGGAAGGATGCTGCCACGTCCCAGTTGCTGGAGTCAACGTCATTCCTTCGTGTGTTCCATGTCTGGTACAATATTGCTTGCTTATTACTCGTGATTATGCCTGTTACTCTTGGATAAGTGCTTTGGTGTTTTCATGTAAACCTGATCCGTGGAGACGGTGGAAGAAGGGCAGCGTTTGTAAGAGCTTTTGTTTTGAATTCTTATCAGAGATTTATGTTTATGTTATTTCTGGGCTCAAAGCCAGTTTGAACTGAAAACTGATAAAGAAAAGTCCTTTTAAGTTTGTCTGCCTGTGTTTGTTAACGAGCCGTCAAGGGGGGGGGGGTCAGAACAGTTTGCTATGCCTGAAGATTTTTTTTCCCCTTCTCCTCCTTTGGCATATCAGAGAATGGCTGATATTTTTGTACTAATGATTAACCTCCACAGATTACAGAATGATTCATCAGAGCTAAAAATAGATTTTGATGTGTATTCTGCTGATGGTGCTTCAACTTTTAAAAAGAATGATCCTGGGAAGCCTTATGTCCGGATGTGCATTCAAAGGTAATAGGTGCTTGTAATCTTAATTTCAATCTTCTATAGATTTTGCTCATGTGTTTACATGACCTGTCCAGTTGGTTTGATGGAAAAGAGAAAGAAAGAATTAACCGCAGGGATGGGATTCAGCTGGTTTGGGCAAATCGGATGCTATTTTTACAACTGGTTTGCTGAACTGGTAGTTGCAAGGATTGGCTGGCCCCATCCTAACCCTCGAGGGAAGCCTCCGGAGCCTGGGGAGAGCGAAAAACAGGCCTCCTGGAAGTTAGGGAAATGGGCCTGTTTCCAGCCTCCGGAGCCTGGGGAGAGCGAAAAACAGGCCTCCTGGAAGTTAGGGAAATGGGCCTGTTTCCAGCCTCCGGAGCCTGGGGAGGGCGAAAACACCTCCCTGCCACTGTAGTGTAGGAGGCCAAATAGGTCACACCCACCATGGCCATGCCCACCCAGCAACTGGGCAGAGAACCGATTGCTAAAAATTTTGAATTCCCCCCCTGGGCAACAGTTGTTCTGTGTATGATGAATCTGTTGTGATAGATGGCTGGGAAAACAGATTTAGGACCGATCCCAGTCCATCCTGAAACTAGATCCTCCAGTTATTGGATCTAACAATACTGGTTGTTATTGGAGTTCTTGCTTTTAACATTGATACCTGAAACTCTTTTTAAAAAAATAAATAAATGGTTCTAAGTTTCATTGGAACAGATATGTTCTGTCTCTTGCCCGCAGATGCAGTAATACTTTTTATGATGTCACTCTTTAAAATTATTATCAAATATATTTTTTAAAATGTTGAGTTGTTTTTCTTTTTTCCCCCAGTTTTGATGAGCAGGTCCCATCCCTGAAGATTGTCAAGCAACTGTCTTATCAAAGTGGAGATATTCCGGTGGTGTTTGCTCTTGTTGACAACGGAAGCCTCGCTTTCTTCTCTTTTAAGGAATTCAAATTGCCAATTGATATTTATCCCTGATACTGAGGGTATCATTTGGAAAAGCTGTTTTATAAATGGGAGTGTTGAAATAAAAGTTTACTAAGGGTTTGACATTGTTCAGTAGGATATTGCCCGGAGTTCTGATTTAACAGTACTGTGCTGCCAGAGGACATATATTCTATATGGCAAGAGCCTAAAAAGAAAGATCCATTCCAACAACATCTCTTCTGGTTAGAAATACAGTTATTTTATTGTTTTAATCCACAAATTCTCTGTTTTTAGTTTGCTGTTACCTAAGCTAGCATTTCTGCCAATCTGGAACAGTTCACGAATTTGAGCCTAGGCAGAGTCCCAAAATATATTTTGTCATCAGCTGAATGTAAAAGTTGGAAGCTACTTTCATGAATCATCAAAAGCAAAGACAAAAATATTTTTTCTTAGTAATCTTCAGTTCCAGACCCAAACATGGAACATATGAGAATAGATGAATATATAGATCATTTGTTATACCTTTTCTACAAGAAAAGCTGAAGGCCAGAATCACTTAATTTCTATTTGCAGATCTAAAAGATTTACCTAATTTGTTTAGGATTTGGTTAGTGGAAGATCACGATTTTTGTTTTCTAGCAACTCTTCCAGATGCAATTTAAAAAGGTTTATATCAGCAAATTTATTTTACATTCTTGGTTGCTATGTCTTTTCCCCCTGCAGATCCTGATATTTTCTCCTTACTATGAAATTCCAAGGCAGTTTAACTTTGCACTGTTACTAGGAAAAAGGGCACTGAATATTTCCTTGTTTAAGAGTAGCTGTTCATGAGGATTTTTACATAGAAATTGGAGAAAAATATTTTGCATTTCTCATTATTTCAGTTTGGAAACAGATGCAATAAAATTATTTGTGTTAACAGAACTTTAAAAGATTTCATGTAACATCTTTTCTTGGCAAAATGATGTATGCAATATATGCATAGAAATATATATTTGTAAATATTTATTAGTGGTGATAATCTCTCCCAGTCCCAAAGGAGCAACAAATATGAGGATTTAAAAAATGCCTATCATTAAAGAGCAAAACTATTCAGATCAGCACCCATAAGAGTCAACTGGAACCAAAGGCTCATTGAAACACATTTTTGTTTCTGAAAAATGGGAGTTGCACACATACTTCTAGGCAGGAGGGTATTTTTCAAAGGGTGGGGGTTATCAGAGAAGAATCATATCTCATGTACCTTGTTTTAGCAGACCCTCTGGACCAAAGGTGGTGTGTGGTGTGTGATGTATTTAAGTTCTGTAGTGTAGGCCTTTAAATAAAACAACCAGCATTTTGAATAATATAAGTATAATTCGACACTGCTGGAATTGGCCCACTGAGAGTCCACCTGCTGCATTATACGCCAGCCAGAGCTGCTGTGTCTTCTTCGAAGGAAATTCCATGCAGAATTGAAACTACAGTCACCCGGTTGGGTGATGATCAGAGCATGGGTTACTGATATAGGGCATATGTATCTTGAGACTTTCTTCTCTGGTGGTGGTTTGTAATTGCTACTGTCGGCAATTATAACAAATTGTCTATAGTTATGATAAGCACTACATACACTATATTGCCAAAAGTATTCGCTCACCCATCCAAATAATCAGAATGAGGTTCCAATCCCATGGCCACAGGTGTATAAAATCAAGTACCNGTTTGAACTGAAAACTGATAAAGAAAAGTCCTTTTAAGTTTGCCTGCCTGCGTTTGTTAACGAGCCATCAAGGTGGGGGTGGTCAGAACAGGTCCCCAACCCCCAGGCCACAGCCTACTACCGGGCCGTGGCCTATTTGCCAGCAGGCTGCATGACCTGCAGGCCAGCACACATGGGCAGCTCAACTCACGCAAATGGCAGGCTGGCACATGCCCGTGCAACTCAACTTGCAATCAAGCTGCATGTGTGCGCATGCCAGCCTGTCACTGGTGCGAGTCAAACTGCACACGTGTGCACGCCAGCCTGCCACTCACACATCCTGGTTTTCCTCTGCCCCCCAACCGTGCCACCAAGGCACAAAGGCTGGGGACCACTGCTCTAGATGAGTTAATTTCAATTCCCAAAATTCTCAGCAACGGTTGTGTGGACGATGGAATTCTGGGTGCTGAAATCTGTACATTTGAATATTTAATGATACATAAATTATAAGTATTTCCTAGAATACTTTAATAGAATCTGAATAAAATGGTCAGTATCGTACTAATGGACCAGTGATCAATATTGCTATCAGTTTCCCAAAGATATTAAAACTACCTCAGCCTAGTCCAGTAATGCTAGCAGATTATGCAATCTGACTGTATATTGTTTTCTGAAAATATAATAACCATTAACAGTTGCAGTCTTAACACCAAATGTATATTGCCCTGGACAATTAGAATTAAGATGCTGCTAATAGGGCAGTGCAAAGCATTCATAAAAGTGCTTTGGAAAGCATGTTGGCACAGATGAATTACTTATTTTTCTATGTACATGCAGACAATGTTTTTACTGGGATTATCCACAAAATAAAGCAACTATGCATATGCAGAGAGATTGAGAGAGTTGGGAAACAACATTTAACTTAGTTATATTTCTGCCTTTATATCACTGTTTATGTTTTTATTGTAAATCACCCACTTAGGTGAGATGGGCTGTGTAGAAATGTGATGAATAATAATAAAAAAAGATGCATAAGTCTTGCAAAAGACATGGCTGGATTACTGCTTCAAATGGCGATACTGTACTTAGTGGTTGAAATGCTTTGCAGTCCCATTTCAATGCATATGTGTCAGTCAAAATGATGTTACACAACTCTAACAAACAGCATTGTTCTTACAAAAATGATTGTTCTTACCTTTCTTTTGATGTCAATGAACTGAGAAAACATTACGGACCAATAGAATGCCAGTTCAAGTATATAGTAGTAATGAATCTCAGGCATCAATGGCTGGAGAATAAAAATAAATAAATAAATAAGGTGTTAAAACCTCCACCAAGGTAAATTCAGTAACTTGTGGGAGGGGGAATCTTTATTAAAAATAGATTTCTGCATAACAATTTTGGAGATTTGGTGGATTAAAACAATATTTTGAACAAGGATGTCATTCAGTTTTAAAACTTGTTAAACTTTTAAACGGTTTGATGGGATCCAATTTAACATTGCAGGCGAAGGCAGTTCAGAATCACTACTTTATTGGAGCTGCAGCATGGGGGGAAAAGTCCCTGGCATTCTTTTGCAAATTCAGGTTTGATTCAAAATAAGTAGAAGTAGAAGACATTTACATAAATAGAAGACACTCTCATTGTGATAAACCTTCATTAATATCCCATAGGTTTTCCCTCCACTGAAAATATTGGTCAGTTCATCAAGGTCACTTTATTATTTTTTTTCTTTTTACTATCAAGTGAGACCAAGCTGTAAATCTGGTCGAGGTCAGTTATAATTTTACACTAAGATATTTTTTTTCATCACCACTGCATAACAGTCATATTGAGGTTCAGATCTGGTATTTTTTAAAGAAGGTTGGAAGAGTCCTTAATCACCTTCCCCCTCCCCAGCCACCCCCAAGGGGTTGAGGGATTTGTAGCTTCCCCTTCTGCTTTGTCAACTCCAAAGCTTCCTCCTTAAAATAATATCTGACCTTGCCAAATAACTATTGTGAAACAGGAGATGACAACAGTGAGTGGTCAAATAAAAAAGACCCTTCCCCAACCCCCAGCTCTTCCTCCCTTCCAATATCCAGAGTCCAAACCAATGTTTTTCAAACTTAGCAACTTTTAAGATGTGTGGGATTCTGGGAGCTGAAGTCCACACATTTTAAAGTTGTCAGGTTCAAAAAACACTGATCTAGACTGAATGAACGAAGTGAAAGATTGTATTTAAAGATGGCAGCTACAGCCATTTGAAAGGATGCCTGTACGTTTTCAACATTTTACATTCATGCTATGCAGCACAGATTTTTGTTGTGGTTTTACCTGATATGGGTAGCCAATCCAGCACTGCTTTGTGTTCCACAGCCAAGAACTCTTAAACAAAAAAGTAAATAAATAAATAAGACAGAGAAAAAGAGGAGAAAAAAAACAAAAGATTAAAATGCTTCTAGAGCAATGCAACCAAAAGTCTTTTGGATATTTGAAACACATTCATTTGCCTTCCAGAAGGAATGAAGCTGGGTGACTTTTGGGGAAATCACTTTCTCTGAGCCCAACTGGTATGTTCTTCACCTTGAGTTATAAATAAATAAATAAATAAATAAATAAATAAATAAATAAATAAATAAATAAATAAATAAATAAATNGGAAGGGGAGGAGGAAGAGGGAGGAGGAAGAAGTGGAAGAGGAGAAGGAGCAGGAGGAGGAGAGGAAGAGGAGGAGGAAGAGGAGGGGAAGTGGAAGGGGAAGAGGAAGAGGGAGGAGGAGAGGGAGGAGGAGAAAGAGAAAGAGGAGTTGGGGAAGAGGGAGGAGGGGGTGGAAGAGGAGAAGGAGCAGGAGGAGGAGAGGGAGGCGGAAAAAGAGAAGGAGAAGGAGGGGGAAAGGAGGAGGGGAAGAGGGAGGAGGAGGAGGGAAAGTAAAAGGGAAAAAGAAGGAGAAGGGGAAGAATTGGAGGCGGGGAAGATGAAGGAGGTGGAGGAGGAGGAGGAGGAGAAGGGGAAAGAGAAGTGCGTGGTTGAGCAGGAAGAGGAGGGGAAGAGGGAGGAGAAGGAGAGGGAGGAGGAGAAAGAGAAAGAGGAGGTGGGGAAGAGGGAGGAAGTGGAAGAGGAGGAGGAGGAGGAGAAGGGGAAAGAGAAGAGGAGCAGGAGGAGGAGGGGATGGGGAAGAGGAAGAGAAAGGAGTTGGAGAAGGAGGAGGAGAAGAGGAAGGGAAAAGAGAAGGAAAAGGGGAGGGAAGAAGAGGAGGAGGAGGAGAAGACGACATAACCACCTTTCATATTAAGCATTTAACTTCACAAACCAAATTGTTCAAATAGTCCAAAATTTCAATCTGGAACTTCGTTCAGCACACAGGGCTACAGCTTTCGGCTTCAAACACTTTTTTTGAAGAAGTTTCACTTTTTTGTGAAACATTGTCCCTGAGACTGGAAATCTAGCTTTGGCATGTTGCCTTCACATGAATGGCTTTGCAAGGCAGGCTGAGGAATTCTGGGCACGGATGTCCACGGGTCTTAAAGCTGCCAAGATTGGACACTCTGTCCTGCTCCAAGGTGACCCTGAAGCTCCCTTTTCATTCTTCTCCCTTTTCACTTAACTTCCTTTCCTTTTTCACTGTAAATGTTGTGTTGTCATTCCCAGGCCTCCCACCGTCCCATCTTTTCAACATTGATGTCTTTTCCTTTCTCTCTTTCTCTCTGTCTTTTTATATAGACAGTCCTACACCCTAAACCATCTGTAAATCTAATTGAGGAACTGCAGTGGTCAAAACCATATGCATTTAAAAAACAATAATATTTCATCCAGTTAAGAAAAATGCACCGGGGAAAAAACTGATCTTCAACCTTTGCCTTCCTTTCACATCTCTCTCTTAAGTTTAAATGATATTAATGCGAACCAGTCATCTGTTAAAAATATTATATCACAGAAGTGATCTAGGGTTAATTGCCTTGCTGGTAATAGCCTATGACATCTAGAAAAAAAATATTTGATACATAACAGAATGCCCATTGCAGCTTCCTTCCCTAGTTGAAATTTTAAAAATAAGAATTTTCCACTAGAAATAAGAACTTTGAAACTCAATTTTCATCTAACACCAGTTGTATTGTAATAATAATAAAAAAAGCATTGGGAAAACTTTGGGATTTTAAGCAGAGATGGTGGGCATTGTCACAAAATGGTGGCATGGTAGCAGTGACTGATCAGGAGACAGAATCCTGGTATTATTATGAAATATAGAATATGGAATAACAGAGTTGGAAGGGAGTTTGGTGGTCTTCTAGTCCAATCCCCTGCCTAGGCAGGAAANCTTGGAGGAGAAGTGAAATGTCTTCAGAAGAAAAAAAAAACAAGAAAGTTCAGTTGCCTCCTGAAAAAGCACCTTTGGAGCAAACCATGACCTTGATGACTGAGAATCTCTACAGACATTTAGCTATGCAATTTGGGATGAAGAACCCTTGGAATGGGGTGGGAGTAGGAATGGATTCCCAGAGGAAAAATTGCAGAGTACAGGAGCCATTTGGCACCACTCAGGTGACCCTGAGGACAGAGATAAACTTCCAAGTGGCCTCAACCACCCTCTAAAAGGATGCAAATGACCAGCTGCCTGCAAGGAGTATAAATCCTTCCATTCTCCACCATCCAGTTAGAACTGAAGAAGCTTCTTGGATGAAAAGCGAAATGCCTCCTGAAAAAAAAAAAGCATCTTTGGGACATCCCTGATCTTCTTTAAAAAATAAAAACTAGCTTCAAGAGAGACCAAGTTACAGAAACGCTTTTCGCAGCAGAAGTGACTTCCCCTCTGTTCGCTAAGATCCGTTCGCCATCATTTCCGAGTGTCGCGTTTTGAGATGTGTGAATCAAGAGCAGCGTCCTTCTCCCTCCTTCGGTTCCCCTTTTCATCTCTTCCCCAGGCAGCCTCGAATCTTCAGAGTTTTTCCTCTCGGCTTCTTCCCAAGGTCACTGGATTGGGGTGGGGGAACGAAGTTATTAGCTCCTCGCTTGTTTTTCTGATCTCTCTCTCTCTCTCTCTATCTCTTCATCTCAGGGCGGATTTTTAAAACTTGAAATGAGTTTCATAGGGACTTTTTAAAAAAAAAGATTAAAAAAAACAAGAAGAGCTTGCAGCTCTCCAGGGGAAAGGCGGGGAGCATTGTTTTTTAATACACTTTGTATCTCAGGCTGCCAGCTCCTTGGGGAGGTTCAAAGAACCTCAAAGGCCTCAAATAGTTCTCTGCCCGGGAGCAAGGAAGCCATTACAGCTTGTACTGGAAGATTTAATAGGTGTCATAATTTATCATGTAAACCGAAAAGTGTTTCTTAATTAAGTGCGTACGTTAATGAATTTTTTAATTTGATCCCTGTAAGTACCTTGCTATACTAATTGCAATATTCTACACATTAGTCATCCACTGTTGCCCTTGGCTATTTTCTACCCAGAGAGGTAGAGACAGAGCTTTTTTTATTTAAAGTTCATTTAACTCTTTCCACCCAGCGAATTAGGCCCTCCTTTGATTCCGACGGCTGAGTGACAGCCATATTTCACACCTACTCCGGGTGAAAAATGTTTTTTCTGCACAAGGCAGGAGTCGCTGTAGATGATCGCTGAAGGCAAAGGAAAAGGGGAAGGAGAAAGAGAAGGACGGGGAGGAGGGGAAGAGGAAGAGGNCTTCATAGGGCTTTCAGCCCTCTCTAAGCGGTTTACAGAGTCAGCATATTGCCCCCAACAACAATCCGGGTCCTCATTTTACCCACCTCGAGATGTGAACAGCCAAACTGCAGAAATGCAGTCAGCTGAAGTAGCCTGCAGTGCTGCATTTAACCACTGTGCCACCTTGGCTCTCGGCTCATTAAATGCACTGTTGTAATTCAAGGACTACTTACTGTGTTTCCCCCAAAATAAGACCTGGTCTTATATTGGGGGGGGCAAAATAGGCACTAGGGCTTATTTTTGGGGAAATACAATTTCAGGGTGATCAGCCCAGCTGTGTGCCCTGCCCCCCAGCATGCACACAAGGGGCGGTAAGTTTGCATGACTGATAATATCCAGCAGCAGCCCCCAGTCAGCACACTCTGGGGCTGCTCAGCCCACACTGTGCAGGTGACTTGATTCCCTGTCCAAGCAACAGATGGAGGGAGAGGCATGGCGGGAAAGGCAGGGAAAGCCAAGAGACAAATCTCCCAAGACCACCCCTCTCTCCAGCCTACCTGCATGGTGTATCTAGATCGCAAGCCTCCCCCACCCCCTGCACCTCTACCTCCAATTGTTGCTTGGACAGGGAATCAAGTTACCTGCGCTGCATGGACTGCGACTACTGCCGGACACGGTTGGCCAGCGCGCATGCACCGCCTCCTGCACTGCCCATGCCCAATCCCCTTCTAGGGCTTATTTTTGGGATAGGGCTTATATTGGGCACACACTTTGAAAATCAAACTAGGGCTTATTTTTGGGGTAGGTCCTATTTTGGGGGAAGCATGGTGTATATAGTGTAATTTATTGCAGCCAGTCCAGCAGGATTTACTTCCATCATGATGGCTTATAAAGTTGAAATTGTCATTGTTAATTTGGTAACAGAATGACTGCTCTGAGGCAGTTTGTACAAAAACTACATATTGATGGAAGCAGGAAAATAATAATTTATTTTGTAATGCTTGACTTTCCAGTTGGACACTACATAATCATAAATTCCATACTATAGTGTCAGAAAAAGGTAAATGAGGTAGTAATTTGGTTTCTCTTTTCTAATCAAGCAAAAAGGTCTTCAGCTGTTTGTTGAAAAACCACCAGGAAAACTAGATGGTGAGACAAGTAACCCCCCAGAATAAAATTCAACTCAGTCTGCCAATACAGATAGTCCTCAACTTACAACAGTTCATTTACTGACTTTTGAAGTTACAACGGCACCGAAAAATGTGACTTATGACCATTTTTCAGAGTTATAACTTTTGCAGCATTCCCCACAATCACATGATTAAAATTCATATGTTTGACAACTGGTTCATGTTTATGACCAGCTTTTATGACCTTCTGATGAGCAAATTTAATGGGGAAGTCAGATTTACTTAACTGGGTTACTAATTTAAGAACTCTAATGATTAACTTACAACTATGGCAAGAAAGGTCATAAAATGGGGCAAAATTCACTTAATAAATGTCTCATTTAACAGAAATTTTGGGCTCAATAGTAGTTGCCAGCTGATACTAAATGTTTACTGAATACTAAATGTTCACTCATTTTACTTTTCATGCTTTTTTAGTGTCTTCATGGAGTATAATTCAACTTCCAGTTTTTATGGCATTAGGGCATAATGATTGGCTGATCAGCTTTGCATAACTGAGAAAAATCAGCAAATTCAGCTTGTTGACTTGAGGACTTCAT